AAAAAAAAAAAAAAAAAAAAAAAGACAGACCCTAGGAAGTTAAAAGACAAGTTGGAAAATTGCCTATACCAATCATTTCATTCTACTCCCATGAAACTTTAATAGGTGTAAGTTTGAACTTTGTCAGTAAGCTGATCTGGGTTCAAATCCAGCCCTATTAACTCACTGGCTCAGTGATGCCCTAGGGCAAGGGTCAGTAAACTATGACCCTCAGGCTACATGCTGTCAGGTTGTTTTTCTTTTTTTAAATTAATTTTTATTTTAAAATAATTTATTTTCTGTTGGATTGACAGTACACACAGCAAAAAATATGCCGATTCACGTTTCTACATGTGCACTTCAGTGACACTCATCATGGTCTCTGAGTTGTGCAACAACTGCCACCCCTCCTCTGAGCTGCTCCTCCCTCATTCACATGAACTCACTGCCTCCACAGCTTCCCATCTCACCTTTCAAATGACTGTTGCCAACTTGATCTCATATAAATCAATCTAAAAAGAGCACAAGGCTCAGGGCAGACACTCTTTACTAGTTAAGCTAAGTCATAATCTGGTTTCAAGACTTCAGGGGAAGTTGTTATGTTGGTGAATGTTTTTGTGTATGTTTTCACCACAATAAAAGTAAAACAAAGAACACTTCAGAGGATAGTTTTGGTTTATGGATTAAAATTATCTCAGGGCAATAGTTTCGGAGGTTCACCCAGCCTCCATGGATATAGAAAGTCTGGATTCCATGAGCATGCTGCTTGTTTTTATAAATAAAGTTTTATTGGCACCAACCATACCCATTGCCTACTGGTGGTCTATAGCTGCTTTATGCTACACTGACATGGTTGGGTAGTTACAACAGAAACCTTATGGCCTACAAAGATGAAAATATTTATTATCTAGTCTTGGAAGAAAACGTTTGCCACCCCCAATATACAGGAACGCATTTCACCAGTGAGCCTCAGGTGCCCCTTGTGTGTGACCACCACAGCCAGAGCTGCCTAAAACGTGACATGCTGACTGCCGTGTACCTGGGAAAAGTACACAAATGAACATTTAGCTTTGCATTATCTTTGTGTATTTATAGAAGATGATCGTCCCTGGGTGTGCAAAAGGTTAACGCATTCCGCTGCTAATGGAAAGGTGGGAGGTTTGACCCCACCCAAAGTCACCTCGGAAGAAAGGCCTGGTGACCAAATTCTGAAAAATCAGCCACCGAAAACCCTACGGAGACCAGCTCTGCTCCGACGCATGTGGGGTTGCTGTGAGCTGGGTTTGATGCCAGGACAATTGGTTTTCTGGTTGTTGTTTTTTTTTTAATAGCAGATGACTCAGCTTTCTTTTTATAGCACTGATAAAGTTTCCTTCCTAAAAGAATGCAAGAGAGTTGATTTAAAGACTACCAAATAAACAGCACAGGATGGCCAAGGTCGCGGGAGAGATGACTCTGGCCAGGCAGGACCAGCAGAGGATCGTGAGGGTTAAGGGAGATCTCATTTCAGCCACACACTAATTTGGCATCTCTCTGGATCAGGAGCTCTGGTAGCATAGTGCCTCAGGCGCTTGACTGCTAACCAGAAGGCTGGCAGTTCAAACCCACCAGCCACTCCTCGGAAGGAAGACTGGGCAATCTACTTCCATAGTGATACTGCCTGAGAAACCCAAGGAGGGGTCACTATGAGTCGGGGGCCGACTTGACGGCACCATAACAACACCTGGGTCAGGTACAGTTCTAGGAACATAACAACAACTGGGTTAGGTACAGTTCTAGGAACAGAAGACAGTGGTAGTAAAAAGCAACCACATCTCAGTTACAGAGCCAATGCATGGCTTAGTGAAGGTAACCTTTGATCAAGTGGAATTTAGTTGTTTCTATAAACATTGTGCAATTCCGGAAGACTTTTCTAATCCAGAGGTAAGCAAACTGGTCTGTACAGGGCCAAAGAGGTCAATTGTTTCTGGCTTTGCAGGCTCCACTCATCTCAGCTGCTTGGCTCAGCTGTTGCAGCACAAGGCAACTACAGACAATATGGAAATGAATGGGCACAGCTGTGCTCCACTAACATGGCTACGTGGGCAGGCCGTGGGGAGGAAGTGGGCTTTTACCCATGGGACGTGGGAACCATGGGGGGCTGTGAGCAGAGGAGGGATGGGTCCTGACTCAGATGCCCACTGCCGTCTTTGGGTTGCAGCCAGGAGAACAAACTGTGGGGATGAGGTCAAGAAACCAGGGTGGAGGCGACTGCTATGATCGAGGTGAAGGTGATGGGGCTGGACCAGGTGGAGGTGAGTACTCTGGTCCAGGTGGGCAATGACAGAGGGCTACAGAGGATGAGTCAGGGCTGACTCGACGGCACATAACAACAACAACAACACAGAGGATGGGGTAAGATGGCAAGGAAGGAAGGACAGACTCTAGATGGGCAAGAGAGGCCCCAAGGCAGGAGGTGTGGAGCAGGGACCCCACGGGGCACTCACCCAGCTCCTCGTCCGTCATGGGGAGGTGGTTGTCCATCCACTCCTCTGACTTGCCCAGCACCGTGTCAACTCCACTCAGGACCATCTGGCCTACACGGGATTCCATGACTGAGTGGACACCGCTGGTTACCACGGACTTGGTCTTGTCCACGCCACTCTGCACAGTGCCCCGGGTCACATCCACTGCTTCCGTCACTCGGGTGGCCACAGTGTCCTTGGCACTGGACACTGTGTTGGACACCATCTCTCGGGCCCCTGACACTTTGGATGAGACAAGCTCCTTGGTGTCTTCTAGGACCTAGGGGACACAGGCACCAGCCATCAGCATCTCTGCCCTCGGTACCTCCTACCCCACACTCTCACCTCTAGGGAGGCCAGAGAGAGGAGTTCCATCTCCTCTCTCCTTAAGATGAATATTGAGTCTGTCGTCACAGTTAAGACCCTGTGCTATGCAAGTAGTTGGACCTGTGGGCTTGGGACCACGGTCACAGGGGACATCAAGCTCATTGGCATAACATACTACACAATAACATTATTCCACATCCTACTTTGGCGAGTAGTGACTGGGATCTTAAAAGCTTGCAAGCACCCACCTAGATATAAGGATAGGTTTCTCCTCATCCAGAGCAAAGAAGAATGAAGAAAACCAAAGATTCATGGAAACAATTACTCCAATGGACCGGTACACCATGAGATCCTCAGCTTATATGACTATGAGACCAGAAGAACTAGATGGTTCCCGGCTACCACCGTCAACCTCTCAGAGGGGGTCTATGTAGGAGATCCTGGATAGAGTGGGAGAATAATGTGGAACAAAACTCAAAATCATAGTAAAAAAGAAAAAAAGGGACCAGGTTTGCCAGTCTGATAGAGCCTGGTGGAACCCCTGAGACTACAGCCCCTATGTGCCCTTCAGGTCTGGAATTGAATCCCCTCCTGTGACTTCCAGCCAAACAAAAGACAGGCCTATGACTGAAGATTTACACTAGGTAGATATACTCTGGAGAGAACAATCATGGGAGAATAGAAGGGCTGTGTATGCACAGGGAGATGGCTAGGGGTGGGGGGCAGGAGTGCATGGAGGGAGGGACATAGGGAAGAGATAACTATGGGGAGGAAGTGGGAAGAGAGCTGTTGTACTGTGGAAAATTGCAGTCAATGTCATGAGACAAAGTCTATGTGAACTGCTACATGGAAAACGAATTTGCTCTGTAAACTTTCACCCAAATCACAATTAAAAAAAAAAAAAAAAAAAAAACCCCGCGCTCTGGAGCCAGACACCAGCCCCAGCTACTGCTGAGGTGATCCAGACTCACGGCGTCCTCACGTCAGAACAGAACTGAGCTCCACAGGGTTCCAGCAGCTGATTTTTCAGAAGCAGATCTCCAGGCCTTTCCTCCGAGGCACCTCTGGGTGGACTCAGACCTCCAACCTTCTGGTGAGCAGCCAAGCACATTGGCACCACACACAGAGTCTCGTCACTTACTCTCCACATCAGTTTCTATCAGCCACATACCAAAATGACATGTGGCTAGGCTACCATATTGGACAGCATAGTGCACCATCATGAGCTGCTGAGGCTGGGGGCCTCATTTCATTGTTTGCTCAGCACCCAACAGGGCCTGAAATACAGTAGGTACTTAAGAGACGTTTGTTGATTGAATAATAGAAAGTGATCCTCTCTCATATTTCTGGGCCTGACACTGTGCTAAACCCATTATCTATATCATTTCATCCACATGGCAATCACCTGAAGGAGGCACCCAGTGCCTATGGACTGAGGTTCACACAGGCAGAAGACACAAAAGCCTGGGTTCAAAATCCCAGCCTTGATATTTCCTAGCTGCTGTGTGGGCTCAGGCAATTTACTCTACCTCTCTGTGCCTATCTTTCCAACTCATAGTCAGAGCAGCACTTGGCTCCAGTGCTCTGAGGCATGACAGCAGACACTGTGGCTACTGCTGAACTGGAACCAGGCCAGTCACCCATGAAGGGTCAGATCCCTGGCTGGATGTGTACCCCATATGCCAATTAAGCCCCTTTGGGAAGCTGGCCTCAACTGGGGGTGGCTATGCCTACCAGGGGACATTGGGTAATATGGGGAGACATTTGTGGTTGTTACACTTTCAGGGATGATGCTACTGGCATCACGGGGGTGGAGGCCAGAGGTGCGACTCAGCATCTATAGTGCACAGGACTGGCCCCCACTCCAGAAAATGATCCAGCCCCATGTCAGCAGTGCTGAGTCGAGAGATCCTATGTTAATTATTTGGGGAAGAAAAATTGAGTTCTCTCCCTAGTCACACTATACATCAGGATAAACTCCTGCTTGGTCAGATGATGTAAACCAGAGGGGCTCTCCAGCTTTGGGGACTCCCCTCCTCTGAGGGATGTTGCTCAACACCCTGCAGTGCACAGGACACCCCCCACCCCAGAGAGGAATGCAGCCCCGAGGTCAGCAATGCTGAGGGAGCGGGACCCTGTGCACTGGGATGTACAGCGTTCCCCCAAGGTTCAGTCCAGCTGGAACCTCAGAATGCAACCTTATTTGGAAATAGGGTCTTTGCAGATGTAGTGAGTTAAGATGAGGTCCTACTGGAATAGGCGGCCCTGAGCCCAGTGACAGGTGTCATAACTTATAAGAAGGCCATTTGAAGACACAGAGGGAAGATGACCAAGTGAAAGTGGAGGTGCAGGTTGGACTGAGGCAGCTACAAGCCAAGGGTGGTCAGCAGTTACCAGAAGCTGAAGAGGAGGCAGAGTTCTTCCCTAGAGCCACTGGAGGGAACGTGGCTGCTGACCCGTCCATTTCAGACTTCTCATCTCCAGAACAGGGGCTCTGGTAGCACAGGCTAACTTGACTTGGTTCAAATCCACCAGCCACTCCTCGGAAGGAAGGTTGGGCAATCTACTTCCGTAGTGATACCACCTCGGAAACCCACGGAGGGGTCGCTATGAGTTGGGTCCGACTCGACGGCACATAACAACAACAACACAATCTCCAGAACTGTGAGAGAATAAATGTTTGTCATCCTAAGCCACTAAGCTTGTACTGAAAAAGCCCAGATGGTGCAAACAGTTCAGCACTCAGGTGCTAACCAGAAGGTTGGCAGTTCAAACCCACCCAGCAGCTCCATGGGATAAAGACCCAGCAGCCTGCTCCCATAAAGATCACAGCCCAGCAAATCCGATGGGGGCAGCTCTACTCTGTCCCATGTGGTCACTGGAAGCTGCTCAACAGCAATGGGTTTTTGTTTTGTATTTTGGTTAAATCTTAATGGGAGCAGATCACAAGGTCTCTCTCCCGAGGAGCTACCAAGTGGATTGAAACCACCAACCTTTCAGGTAGCGCTGAGTGCTTAACCATTATGCCACCGGGGCTTATAGGATGCCGGCAGAATCCTCATATTACAGAAGAGAAAGTGAAGCTGGGAGAGGCAAAGTAGCTTGTCTGACGTTGCCTCGCAACTCGGGCAGAAGAGGTATCTGAACCTGGTGTGTTGATTCTAGGAGGCAGGGGTGGTTCAGGGGTCCAATTCTTGCCTTCCACGCAAGATTCAGGTTCGCTTCGCGGCCAGTACAGCCACCACCCATCTATCAGTGGAGGCCTGCGTGTTCCTAGGACGCTGAACAGTCGGAATTGGCAGTGGGCTTGGGACTTCCACGCAGAAAACAAATTTGTCAACCAATCAACTCCAACTCACAGCACCCCTAGAGGACAGAACAGAACTGCCCCATAGGATTTCCAAGGCTGTAATCTTTACAGAAACACACTGCCACATCTTTCTCCCATGGACCAGTTGGTGGATTCAAACTGCCCACATTTTGGTTATCAGCCAAGCACTTAACCACTGCACCACTAGGGCTCCTCTCTCCATATAGGGTCCCTGGCAAATTAGATAGCCACCCCATCCATTTTTATCCTTCTAAGATGGTACCCCTTTGAATATCTGAACACCCAACCTTCCTGTACCTGTGGGGATGCATCATTTTGTGTGTGTGTGGGTGGGGGTGGTGGTGACATGAGTCCCTGGATGGTGCAGATAGTTAATACACACAGTGCTCACTGAAAGGACAGAGGTTGAGTCCACCCAGAGGCACCCTGGAAGACAGGCCTGGTGACGTACTTCCGAAAAATCAACCACCAAAAACCCTATGGAGCCCAGTTCTACTCTGACACATGATGTCACTGCGAGTCGGGGTCAACTCAACAGCACTTTGGACTGGTATGCTCATTGGGCAATAGCATCTGTATGAAGCTACGGGAGGGCACAGTGGACTGTCTAGCTCACACGGGCCCTGGTTCAAATCCCAGCTCTGCCCACAGTGCCGTCCCACAGAACCTTGGCAGAGAAACAGCACTGGTCCACCTCATGGGGCCCAGAACTGACAGGCAAAAAGAGCTCGGAGCAGCCACTCTGTCGGGTGACCTTGGGGAGTTTCCCCGAGTTCAGCCTGTCTATAAATGGAAGAATGTTTGCCTCATGGGCTAGCGGCAGGACGGAGGGGGAACGCAAGTGCCTCGGCTCTGCAAAGCTGGCTCCAGGGCGACGTTTCTCTAGTCATCCGTGAACTCAGCACTTTCTGTCCTCCCTCTGTCCAAGCCCCTTTTGTGGTTTCTGCTGGTAAGAGACGGGTGCAAGTCCTGCCTCGCCATTCACTAGCTTCAATACCCGCAACGAGCCAAACCAGTTGCCGTGGAGTTGATTCTGACTCACGCACACCCCACGTGTGTCAGAGCGGCACTGTGATCCAGAGGGTTTGCAGCAGCTGGATTTTTGGCAGCAGACTGCCAGGCCTGTCTTCCAAGGTGTCTTTGGGTTGACTTGAACTTCCAACCTTTTGCTTAGCAGCCAAGTGCTTAACTGTGCTACCGGTGGCTCCTTTACTAATTGTCCACCTCCCCTAACTAGAATACAGGCTGCATAAGCGCCTGGGCTATCTGCTCTGTTGCTTGGGCTGATGCCTAGCAGAAAGCTTGGCACATAGTAGGTGCTTATTTTCACTTGTTGTTGAGTCGATTCTGACTCACGGTGACCCCGCGTGTCTGAGTAGGGCTGCACATCATAGGATGCTGTGGCTGATTTTTCAGATGTAGACTGCCAGGCCTTTCTTCCATGTTACCTTTGGGTGGACTTCAAGCTCTCCGTTAGCAGCCAAGCGCTAAACCATTTGCACCACTCAGTCAGCTAAGCCTGGCTTATGGGAACCCGGAGGATTAAATGTGACCGTGTGGATGCACAGCTGATGGCACTATTCTTGGCATGCAATAAGTGCTTGAAAGTTAGTGAACAAACGGGCTGCTTGTCAAAGCGGGTGCTCTCAGTGAAAAGACTAAGGAAGCCGGGGTGGTGGCTGGATTGACCTTGTCCCACTTCTCCCAAGAAGTTACTTTAGGTGTGAGGGGAAAAAAAAAACCAAACACACTGCTATCGAGTTGGATCTGACTCATAGCGACATGTCCTTGGGTTTCTGAGGCGGTATCTCTACAGAAGTAGACTGACCAATCTTCCTTCCGAGGAGCGGCTGGTGGGTTTGAACCACCAGCCTTCTGATTAGCAGTCAAATGCCTTAGGCACTACGCCAGCAGAGCTCCTAGGTGTGAGAAACTCAACCACAATAGAGGTACTGAGGTTGGCCCTTCTGGTCCAGTGGCTCCCAGACGAAAGTACAGATTAAATATGCAAGTACTTAAGTGCCTGATCTCTGGCGGATGCAAATGGCTGACATTCTCAGCTGCTAACCCAAAGGATGGTGGTTCAAGTCCACCCAGAGGCATGCTGAAGAAAGGCCTGGTGATCTGCTTCCACAAAATCAGCCACTGAAATCCCCATGGAGTACAGTTCTACTGACACACACAGGCTGCTGTGAGTCAGGGCTGACTGGACAGCAACAGGAGCCAACTCACTGTCCAGCTGGGGCTGTGTCAGCTGGATCCCCAAGGAGCTCCCGGGGAGGGGGAACACCAGTTACCTTCTCAGGGGGCTTCTGCAGGATGGGCAGGTTCTCCTCTAGCTTGTCCAGCCCTTTGTGGGCGTACTCACTGGCGGATGCAACTGCAAGACATGGGGCAAGAGTGAAATCTGATGGTTACTTCCCCATTTCCACCCACTTTGAACACAGACATCGCTCAGGGCCCAAGTGAGCTCAGCTGGGGCTGGTTTAGGGAAGGAGGCCTAGGACTAGGGCAGACCCCCGGAAGTGCTGGGCAGCCAGGCTTGGGGCTCTGTGGGTATTACTCACGCTGTGGCTCCAGCTTGGAGAGAATGGGCTGGGCCCCGCTGACAGCGGCCGCCGTGAGGGTTTTCATGCCCTTCTCTGCCACGTCGCAGACGTACTTGACGTGGGGGTAATTTTCCTTGGCAGAGGTGTAGGCCGCAGACACCATGTCGCAGGTGGAGCCGATGAGAGGCATGTTGGCCACGCGGTCCACCACACTCGGCTGGGGAGAATGGGGGATGCTCAGATGTGCTGGGTCAGGGGGACATTTGGGGTTTTGCTTGCAATCTCGGCCAGCAAAACAGCTCAGCTCACCCCTACTTCACAGCCAGGCAGTTGCATAACCAGGAATTTCAAGGCTCCCCATGTTTCCTCCACCCTTACTCAGCAGCTCATGTGTTTGAATGTGGACTTCACACCTACTATGCTGGGCACTATGGTGGTGCTAATAGTTAATGTACTCAGCTGCTCACCCAAAGGTTGATGATTCATGTCCACCCAGAGGTACCTCAAAAGAAAGGCCTGGCCATCACCTGAGCTGAACATTTACCTGAGGTAGATACTCTCCTTGGAGAGATCAATCATGGGAGAATAGAAGGGCTGTGTCTGCACAAGGAGATAGCTCGGGGTGCAGGAGTGGAAGGAGGGAAGGACACAGGGAAGAGGTAACTATGGGGAGGAAGTGGGAAAAGAGCTGTTGCATTGTGGGAAATTGCAGTCAATGTCATGAGACAAAGTGTATGTGAAATGCTGTATGGAAAATTAATGTGCTCTGTGAACTTTCACCCAAATCACAATAATAATTTAACAACAACAACAACAAAAAGCCTAGCTTGAATCAAATGAGAATGAAAACACAACATACCAAAATCTTTGGGACACAGCAAAAGCAGAGATCAGAGGCCATTTTATAGCAATAAATGCACACTTCAAAAAAGAAGAGCCAAAATCAACACTTTAAACCAACATCTCCAACAATTAGAAAAAGAATAGCAAGATAAAGCCTTCAGACACCAGAAGAAAAGGAAATAATAAAGATTCAAGCAGAAATCAACGAAACAGAAAACAAACAATAGAAAACAATCAACAAGACTAGAAGTTGGTTTCTGAAAAGATTAATAAAATTGACAAACCACTGGCAAATTTAACAAAGGAAAAGAGGGAGAGAATACAAGTAACACTAGTAAGAAATGAAACGGATGACATCACAATAGAACTACCTGAAATAAAAAGGGTAATATCAGGATCCTATGAAGAACTGTATTCAACAAATTTGAAAATCTGGAAGAAATGGACAGATTTCTAGATACACACCACTTACCTAAACTAACACAGATTGATGTGGAAAAGTTGAACAGATCCATAACAAAAGAAGAAATTGAACAGGTCATAAAAAAAATTACCAAATTACCAAAAAAAAAGTCCTGGCCCAGATGGTTTCACCAGAGAATTCCACCAAATGTTCAGAGAAGAACTGACACCAATGCTACTCAAACTATTCCAGAACATAGAAAAGGATGAAATCCTCCCAAATTAATTTTATGAAGCAGGCATAACCTTGATATCAAAACCAGGCAGAGACATCACTAAAAAGGAAAACTATAGACCAATATCCCTCATGAATATAGATGCAAAAATCTTCAACAAAATCCTAGTGAATAGACTCCAAAAAATAGTACATTATGACCAAGTGGGATTCATACCCAATATGCAAGGATGGTTCAACATTAGAAAAACAATCAACGTCCTCCACCACATAAAACAAAGGAGAAGAACCACATAATTGTACCAATAGATGGAGAAAACGCACTTGATAAATCCAACACCCATTCCTGATCAAAACTCTCAGCACAACAGGAATAGAAGGGACATTCCTCGACATAGTAAAGGGCATATAAGCCAAACCAACAGCCAACATTATTCTCAATGTAGAGAGATTGAAACCATTCCCCTTGCAAACAGACACCAGACAAGGATGCCCTCTATCACCACTTCTATTCAACATTGTACTAGAAATCCTAGACAGGGCAATTAAGGCAAGAAAGGGAAATCAAAGTCATCCAAATTGGTAAGGGAGAAGTCAAACTATGCCTATTTGCTGATGCTATGATCCTGTATATAGAAAACCCAGGAGACTCAGCAAAAAAAACTACTGCAACTAATTGAGAGATTTAGCATAGTAGCAGGAGATAAGATCAACGTACAAAAATCAGTTGGATTCCTCATCAGCAAAGAGACTGCTGAAAAGGAAATAAGGAAATCAACACCATTTACAATAGCTACCAAAAAAAACCTTGAGAATAAGTCTTACCAGGGACACAAAACACCTGTAGAAAGAAAACTACAAAAGACTACTTCAAGAAACCGTAAGAGATATACATAAACAGAAGAACATCCCATGCTCGTGCATAGGAAGATTGAACATTGTGAAAACATCAATTCTACCCAAAGCAATCCATATATTCAATGCAATCCCAATCCAGATCCCATCAGCACTCTTTAAGGATATGGAAAAACCAATCACTAGCTTAATATGGAAAGGAAAGAGACCTTGGATAAGCAAAGTGCTATTGAAGAAGAAGAACA